GTCGAATTCACAAAAATAACGTAAACCGTTGATTTAAAGCAATCGCCGCTCCTGTCTCTTGATTGCTGATGATGATCAAGAACGCATGACGTTTAAATATCATCACGACGATTATTGGTCACTCGAAATCGACCCGTTAAGAATGCAATGGTAGTGCGGTGGTTTTTTCTGTGCATTTGTTACCTGTTACTAATTAATCCACAGGATCAAAATGTTTATTGTATCAATAAAAATGGATTTTAAGGCATAAGGAAGCATTGTTGAGTTCTGGAACCAAGTTTAATCGATTTCTCGTGCAATTTTAGGTCAGGAGTGGTCATCAAAATAAATTTTGAACAAAGTCGATATTTTGGTAAATTTCTAGCTTTCTGTCAGAAAATAAATCTTCGTTCTATTAGGGGTAATTGGATGTAACTACAGTACAGCTGTACTTACACCCACTTTCACAAGCATGCAAGCTCACCTGGTCCAAAGAGCGGGAAACGGAGAACGAGCTCTGGTGACGTCATAGTCACGTGACCTCAGGCTCATAACCACGTGACCTCAGACCCAATCAATTGGGATCTGGCCTGTTCAGCCCCCTGTCACCCGATCTTGAGGTGACGTACGACAACTCGTTAACCCAATCGATGTCTGGAAGGCTGCAAATTTTCACATGCCAAACTCACAACGGTTTTTCGGAGTTGTGCGAGATGACGACACATAGAGGCCGCAGAATTATGAGGACTACCAGATCCTGGTGGAACCTAAGCGATCCATGATATCACGACAGGCCCTACTATAAACCGAAACGGTATGTTTGGCATTGAAATGTCTGCATGCTCCTCTAGGCAGTGCTTCCCCATGGCCGTAGATTTATTGCCATCCCTTACTGATTTGTAGTGTTCCCAGGCTCTACTTCTTTTAAACCTACCAGTTTCCCCAATGTAGAAACTGGTAGGTTTAAAAGAAGTAGAGCCTGGGAACACTACAAATCAGTAAGGGATGGCAATAAATCTACGGCCATGGGGAAGCACTACCTAGAGGAGCATGCAGACATTTCAATGCCAAACATACCGTTTCGGTTTATAGTTCGAAAAAGATGTAAAGACTATGTGGACCGTCAATTGTGGCAGTCGGTTCTAATAAAACGTGAAAACCCAGAAATAAATACTCAATTGTCTGAGTCCGTAAATGAAGGTGATTGGATAAAATATACTTGGAAGTTAATGTAATATTGAACTTATAAACCTAGATAATTTTTGATTACTTAGTTTTATAAAGGAGCTATCTTGGTAAAATGTTTGTAGTACTATGAGGAATTGTTCACGGCTTGTTGCGGTGTGGTTTCTTTTAGCCGTTATATTTTATGTTTCTTTTGGAAAAATTTGTGATCGTTGTTGTGTTTTAAGATGTTATTTGTTGTTGTTATTTTCGTAGTATTAATAGATTATTTTAACATTGTATTTTTGCAGCTATGTAAGTTTTCAGTACGTCCTGTTTATGACAAAGGCATGTAGCCGAAACGTCGACAAAGAATTATGTTTTAACACACTGAGTGGAGACTCTCATTTCGTCAACTACAATTAAAAATAAATGATTGACCCACTCATAAGAGCAAAACAAGATTAAAAGTTAAATTTATTACCAATTATTCAATCAATACATATCATACATTTTTGAATTTAAGTTATGTATAAAATGCCACAACATCATAGTTAGGGTAAAAGATTATAATTAAATTATAAAATTAAGAAGATTGACCTTCCTATGATTCCTTCCTATGATTCCTATAAGTATATTATGTTACTTTTGAAGTGTTTTCTGGTGGTTTATTGTTAATCGTAGTGTGGTATATATCAATAAATCTTCCTATGATTACTATATGATATATTTAAAGTTTTAATTTTTCCTAAATAGATTTGTTTTTGAGATGATTTAGTTGTTTGTTGCTGGATGTTTTCACCTCACCCTTTAGAACTGCTCTGACATGGTTAGTACCTGGCACTTGTGTCAGTTGCTAACCATATGGGCGGTATACAAGCACATTATTTCATTTCATTTCATGATCTATTTGACAACAAATTTATTTTGTTTTTGGTAAATGTGTGCTGACTCTACCACCTATGTATTTTACCTAATATTTAGTGTATTACAGGTAGACATTGACTTAGGTAGGTATTTTCTCTTACGGTAGATATTAAGAATTTGGTAAATTTCTTAATTGTATGACAATTTCCATTATTGAGACGTTTTTAATATTTAATTTAAGAGGGTCTTTTTTATAGGACTGGTTCACAGTGTGAACAGATTCCAGATTTATATATTTTTAAAGTGATATTTAATAAATGATTAAAAGAACCAATTTTAAAGTTGCCATACTAAATAAATAATAATATTTGTTTCGTCTGCAAATAAGACAAATTTACCCTTATTAGTTATATTGCAAATATCAAAAAAAATTTGTTTTACTAATAAAATTTGGTAGCTTAAACACAAACTCTAAGCCCAGTGGATAAACCACAAAACTTATGCTCTATTGTGTGAAACAAAGATACTAGATCAAGATAACTATCAAGGAGTGTATGCATAGGACATAAAAAGTTTTGGAACGAAGATGACATGCTTATGAAGCGAGCTAACAGTCTAATTGCTAATAAGTTCAAAAAGATCATGACATTAGGTTGCATCCTAAACAGTTTAAGCAAATAACATAAAGTTATACTGTCAATTAATCGCTCATGCCATAACTTTTCTTAAACAGGTGAGTTTTTAATAATGTTTTGAACAGATCAACATCAGAACAAGTCTTAATTCCAATTGGTAGTTGGTTCCAGATTTTCGGAGCAACAGTCTGAAACGCTCTTGGGTCCAAAAAGCTCTTGGGTCCAAAAAGCTCTTGGGTCCAAAAAGCCTTTAGGTCCAAAAATATACCTATTATGCTCACTTAAAAACAACTCTAAATCAGTAGGCTGTCACTCTATTAATGCACCACACCGCTACCTCCACTGCACTAAAAGTTATACAATGAATTTTACAATCCTAATTTTGTATCGTGATGGAGACCGGTGTCCATACAAAACATTTACTAGGTTGCCGTTTGGTGTGAGCGAACAGCACGCACACTCCTTTGCCCCGTCAACCTATATCTAATCTATTTAAAGAGTGACCACCATACTACACATTGAATTAGGATTCCTTTAAATATCAAATTGATTTATTGTAAACTTGTTTACATTGTAATAAATGGCATAAAATTGAATTTTTGTTTAACTGAATTTTTGTTTAACTGACTTCAAATTTAAAATTTTAGCAAATGCTATCTAATTTTTAAACATTTGGTTACAGTTTGTGGCAGTACTGGCAAGACGTACTGGATGGTAAACGGACCCAGTTGCCTGCAAGGGCTTTACTGAACCCCTGGGGACCACAATGTAATCAGTACAGGCCAAATGTATCTATGTAGAGTAATTTATTTATTTCGGAGCTATGGTTACATGATATAGCTGGTGGTCATATTTAAAGGTCATTTCATCCTTGTATGCTAATTATCCATCCGAATGCATTGTGATGTGAATATATCTTCTACAATATACAAGGCTTAACCATGAATTTTGTTAAACCACAGAAACTGTGGCACTTTACCTGAGGACCCCAGGCTATTATGTTTATAAACATAGCCTGGCGTCATTAAACCCTTTAAAACGCGCAAGTAAGCGAGTTTATGCGATTTTACAATCAAATAATCAGATTTTATAATCTAACTCAGCGCGCGGCTCTTGTAGCTTATACGTTACTTTTTTCCAATTGGTAGTTGGAGTGCACGTGATTTTTTGCGCGGCTGTGATTGGTTCTATGGTTCTAAACGATCACGTGAATGCTGGTCATGTGCGCTCTAATATAACATCCAATTAGCATCCGCACATTTTCAGGGCGATGGAGCTCACAGGGGGGCTGAAACCAGGTTTTTGATCAAACGCTGCCATTTATAGTAAAACTTCGCCAAAAAAAACATAAATCAAAAAAACTTGCATCATGCGTTAATTAATTAACGATGCAATTGGCAATGTCAATTAATTTCGTTGGAGGACTTCGCCGCTTCGACGCGCCGCGCAAACTAGCATTCTTGCTTCGCATCGTCGATCGTTGCTCTGCTAACTGTTTCGCAGAGCAACGATCTCGACGGATTGACATCGTCAATCAATTCATTTCGTCGATCTAGTCGTTGCGATAAGCATAATTGAGTGCGCGGCGCGGCACAGTAATGCATCGCGCTATAATGCATTAATTGTATGTAAGATTGACGCGAAGCGCATTTTTACAAAGTGAAAATATGGATTGGTCATAAGGGTGCCACTGCGTTGTAGCGATATGCACTACTGGGCTGCGCCGCGCTTCTTCTCGCAACCACATCTACTTCGATAGTAACTCTATCCAGAGCCCTTGCAGTAGCCCTTGCAGTAGCGTGTGCCCGCCTCAGGCCGCCTTTTCCTTACATGTGAAAAAAGTCCTGCTAGTTATATATAAAATATATGTTTGCTTTAATTGAAACTAAATAAAATTGTTGTTTTCTTGAGCGCGCCCGCATGGGCGCAAAAGCACATGGTAGGGTGAAGGCGAAATACACCACTGCACACCGGGTCTCACCGAGCTGCGAAGGATTGACATCGCAATTGTGAATCAATCCACTGTGATGCAAAAAGGTTAATTTTTGGCAAAAATTAATTTTCATACGAATTAATTCAAGAATAAATCGTTTTTAGGTTAAAACCGTAAATCATTTCACAATAAACATACAATTATAATATTATAAAAACAATTGTAAATAATAATCTTGTTTTTGGATCGGAATCTTAATTTAATAAGTTGATTTTAAATCGCAATGAACCACTTTGCAGTTATAAAATGTATTAAGCTATAATAAAATTAAAAAGTGTAAGTGATTCATATATACATGATGTAATTCAAATTTGTGATATATTTATCCTTGCATCATTTGCATTTAAATTTATATCATATCAGCCACAATGGATATTTTAATTTTGAAATCACAATGAATTTTCATTAAAAATTGTTATCGAATTTTAAAATGATCAAGTTAGGGTAGTAAATGAAATTTGATCATTCTATTATTCTATTCACTAGAATTCATTTTTTATGAACTTGGATTAATTACATTTAATCAAATTTGATCATTACTCTTATCATACCTTTAATTATCATAAAAGAGTTCTTTACTGAATGAGTCAGATTGGAGATTTCCTTCATACAATTAATGTTCAATCATCCATTTCACTCCAACTGTTTGGATCACAGATCGTATTAAAATCAAGTGCTACAATTATCATTTTAAATAGTTGTACTGCACGTTAATTTTTTACTGTCATAGGTGGCCAAGGGTGATTTTCAAAACTTTGAGTTTTTTCTCTTTACATAGGGTCATTGTGACATTATGTGTATACTGTTTGAAAAATTTTATTCTTTACTGTCATAAGGTTTGATTCTTCGTTTTAAGTTCTTAAGTTTGAAAAAGGATAATTGGGGTCAAATCCAGAATCATATCACTCTCGAGTGTTTGCTCTATTGCATGTTGTGCTGTTGTTTACAGGTTTGTTTCTTTTATCTCGTCTCTGGCTGGAGATACCACTGCAAAAATAAAATATTTATATCTCATAAATATCACTTTGTACAAAGTCATCAGAACTTAGTTATTGGCTGCTTTAAATCGTGGCTAAGTATACTAGATAACTGTGTTCCGAGTTTAAAATAATCCTATTTGAACGTATGTTATCCGCCTTTCAAGACATCACAGTTAGCAAGAACTCTCTAGGCCATATTATGGTTTATGTAATTAATGGTGTCTCATCATGTGAAATTAACAATAGCTTTGACTATTTTTACACTCCGCATCTGTGCTAACTATAACGTGTTTCGGAGTCTTTGTTAATTTGCAGGATCCCCTGTGTTTTACTGACCAAATTAAGCCGCAAGTTTACATTATAAAAACTTAATTGAAGAAGTATAGATCTGTAAGACGTATGTCTCTCTTACTTTATCCGCTTACCACGTGTGACCTGATGCCATTTTTTACTCTAAGTTCTGTACTTCTCTGCATAGAAATGTACATAATTTTGACAACAAATGTCAAAACGGGTATCTATGTAATTTTCGTACTATTTTAATGGTTACCTTCATGCCCACAGTTTAATGTTCAATCTCACTATACCATATTCATTAACTTATAACTTATTACATACTATATGACGTTTTGATTGATGTCCTTAGAAGGGTATTCTTCTTGCACTTTTTGACTGACTTGAATGTCATGCACAGCAGTTTGAAGCTTCTTTAAATTATTTGTATTCTTATTGTATTGCTGGGTAAATTTGATTATAATTCTAGTTCTAATTCTATGGTTCATAATTGTATATGTTCTTAAACATCATTACATCTATACACGTTATTCGTATCCATTTTCTTGAATATTCGGAAGATAGCTGGAGAAATTGGAATTCAATCATGCAGAGAAATTATATGCTTAAAAGAATATTATACATTACTTGCTGCATAAATTTGTCACTTAACTAATGGCGAATTTTCAAATCTGCCACTATACCATTAGCCAAGTAGCATTGTCTTCCTGTATTATTAACAACAATTAAGTACCTGAGGTTACCATTCATTTCATCTACTCAACCCAATTTGTATCCCCAATTTGCTAGTTCTATTTATAGCTAAGATATATGTTGGGTGTTAGATAAGAAGTTACCCACCAAAAGAAGGGCTGATCAACTCTTGTTCAAGTGTAAGCCCTGCTTCAAAATATCCAGACTGTTGATATACATTCTCTACACATTCCTGCAAATGTTTAATGACAATTAGGTATGTTTATTGCACTTTGAACAATTGTGTCACTATTTTTTTAATTTGTGTCACTATTTAACACTTACAATAAATTGCTATCTGCTATACCTAAATACCTGTGATGGTTGTACCCTGGCTTTCTTTTTCCAAGTCCTGATGGAAGCAATGACCAGCACAGTCAGGAGAACGAGCACCACAGGGATAGACAACCATGCTAAGGAAACACATCTCCCTGTCACGTAAGGTAGACTGAAGCTTCTTGCTGGACATGAGTCCCCCTTGAGAGTTAGTCCGTTGCAGGCAGTATTCAATGGGCAAACTGAGCATCTTTCAGTTACAACATCGAATCTGTATCCTGGCTTGCAACCATCTGAATAAGTACAAGTTTTGGATTTTTATTTTTGTTGTTCAAAGCAGTGAGTTTCATCTTAAATCTATTCCAATAGCAACCATGTTCTGAGCTTGGCTCTATAAAGATATTTTTAGCTGTTTTGGAGCAACTGATTCAGATTTGAAGGTCATTGAAATTTAAATGGGAAACATGGGAAATTTAATTGACATTTTATATTACATAACTTTTTGAATAAAAGCAAAGTAGTAGGATAAATTAATACCTAGACATTTTAATGAGGTTGACACCACTCCATTTCTAGATTCAGAGTGGTCAGCCCCAATGACCCTTTTACGGTGCAGCCAACAGGTACCATTCTGAGAGAAAGAAACTCTTGAGCAACCATCTTGTGATCTACAACCCAGGATGCAAGCTTTTATGTCTGATGTTCGGTTCAGCACTTTTAGGACACTACCAGCTCCGAAAACGTTGTCCTCGTAGCAACCATGTTCTAGTGTAAAAGTCTGTTTTAATGAAAAATTAAAATTTAGCCATATTATTACTTACAACTAAGAAAGGAATTTAACAGAATTTAATATGAAATGAATAAATTTGGTTAGCATTTAATTTAAATGCTACATTACAATCAAATCTGAGATACATTGTTCCTTGATGATTATAAATTAGAAACACACCATGAAAACAATCTGCTACATTAGTTGATCCTTTGAGAGAATCTTTGCCATTTGGACAAGCTGAACAAGAATGAGAGGACATAGCACTGAACGTTCTCCTACCACAAACAGTGCAATCATCAGTTGCAGAATTGTACATCATCCCTTTCTTGCACATCACTGGTTATGGATTTAAAGTTAGTCCAAATATTGAATATAACCTTGATTTTATATAATAACATCTATAAACGAAAGAGGCTCAGAAAAATGCTGGCCTATAATATATATGCTTTCTAAGACTCATCTGTTCAATATGTCTCATAAAATTTAACCTAAATTTTATCTAAATATTTTATGTTATCACCCTGTGATCCTGTATTCAGCCCACCCCTTTTAATTCAGAACAACTGTACTCACTGCAGCGATCAGAGCAGTCCAACTTTGCTGTACTATTTCCAGGGCAGTCTAGACCATAGCAAACAGGGTTAAAACAGGTTCTGTTCCTTCTTCTATAGCCTAATGAAGAGGTTGAGTTCTCTGCTGACTCACAAAAGCAGTCCCCCCAATTTGTCCAATCGCTCCATTCTCCATCAACTGTCAGACCTTACAAGGGAAATTAGTAACTTGAGTATTTGAATGACTTCTCTTAAATGATTGACCAGCAGAGATGACATCATCATCATTAAGAGACAAAATACAACATTCAAGGTAAATTGTATTTTAAGCTTTTTAGCACTTACAGCATCGATCATCACAAGTTCCATTATTAAGAAGTTCACCAACACAGTCCCTAGTGTGTATTTTGTTTCAGTATCAATCAAGTTTTATTCAATTATTGAATCCAAATCTAAATTTTTTTGTATAAGTAAAAGACTACGTACAAGTGTAATAAGATTATAGATCTGTTTTACTGTGAAATATATCAGTATTCCCTTACGTTCCATGGCAAGAAGGTGGTGGGTTGGTACAAGATCTAGTTCTGTTCCATGTCCCTGTTCCAGTACTGTGATCACAATCACACCTGCTCCAATTTCCCCAATCTGTCCAGTTTCCGTTTACTATCTGACCTGAGATATTTTGAGTACTTAAATCTGGCAGCTGATTTATTCTTTAAATCGGCAGGCATTGGAGGCATCATGTAGCTGGTGGGCCCGACATGATACGACATATCTCGACACGTCGGGGTCTGTCGGGATATGTCGGGGTTTGTCGGGGTTTGTCGGGGTTTGTCAGGGTGTGTCGGGGTTTGTCAGGGTTTGTCGGGGTTTGTCGAGCCTGGAGGTTTTTTTATTTAATTTTATTTTTTTATTTTTTTATTTTTTTTAACGTAATTTAAAAAAGATTTTTTAAAATTTTTTTTTGAGTCTCCCAACAAAAAGCCGAGACGGAGTCATCAAGCTTTACGTGGAAAAACACTACACAAGAAGGCATCATGTAGCCGGTGGGCCCGACATGATACGACATATCTCGACACGTCGGGGTTTGTCGGGGTTTGTCGAGCCTGGAGGCTACATGATGCCTCATTGGGCAGAAATTGTTTATTATTGAAATTAATTTTCATATTCAAACTGTAGTAGAATGTTGAAACTTACAGCACTGATCATCACAAGTTCCATTGTTGAGCAGCTCACCAACACAGTCCCTGATATAATGATCAACAATTAAGATAAGATTGGGTAAAAGAAACTGATTTTTGGGTGAGGGAAACTGATGCAGTAAACTATTCTTGGTTGATTTCATGGTTAAAAACTGTGACATTATTCCCTTACGTTCCATAGCAAGAAGGTGGTGGGTTGGTACAATATCTAGTTCTGTTCCATGTTCCTGTTCCAGTACTGTGATCACAATCACACCCGCTCCAATTTCCCCAATCTGTCCAGTTTCCGTTTACTGTTTGACCTGAAAAGTTTTAAACGCTTAAATGTGTTAGCTTATTTATTCTTTAAATTGACAGGCAGTGGGCAGAAATTGTTTATCATCAAACTTAATTTTCATATTCAAACTACAGTTGCATGTTGAAACTTACAGCACTGATCATCACAAGTTCCATTGTTGAGCAGCTCACCAACACAGTCTCTGATATAATGATTAACAATTAAGATAAGATTGGGTAAAAGAAACTGATTTTTGGGTGAGGGAAACTGATGCAGTAAACGATTCTTGGTTGATTTCATGGTTAAAAACGGTGGCATTATTCCCTTACGTTCCATAGCAAGAAGGTGGTGGGTTGGTACAAGATCTAGTTCTGTTCCATGTTCCTGTTCCAGTACTGTGATCACAATCACACCTGCTCCAATTTCCCCAATCTGTCCAGTTTCCGTTCACTGTCTGACCTGAGATATTTTGAGTACTTTAATCTGGCAGCTGATTTATAAATTTATTCTTTAAATCGGCAGGCATTGGGCAGAAATTGTTTATCATTGAACTTAATTTTCATATTCAAACTACAGTAGCATGTTGAAACTTACAGCACTGATCATCACAAGTTCCATTGTTGAGCAGCTCACCAACACAGTCCCTGATATAATAATGATTAACAATTGAGATAAGACTGGGTAAAAGAAACTGATTTTTGGGTGAGAGAAACTGATGCAGTAAACGATTCTTGGTTGATTTCATGGTTAAAAATTGTGATATTATTCCCTTACGTTCCATAGCAAGAAGGTGGTGGGTTGGTACAAGATCTAGTTCTGTTCCATGTTCCTGTTCCAGTACTGTGATCACAATCACACCCGCTCCAATTTCCCCAATCTGTCCAGTTTCCGTTTACTGTCTGGCCTGAGATATTTTGAGTACTTAAATCTGGCAGGTGATTTATTTTTTAAATCGGCAGGCATTGGGCAGTAATTGTTTATTACGGTATTGAACTTAATTTTCATATTGAAACTACAGTAAAATGTTGAAACTTACAGCACTGATCATCACAAGTTCCATTGTTGAGCAGCTCACCAACACAGTCCCTGATATAATGATCAACAATTAAGATAAGATTGGGTAAAAGAAACTGATTTTTGGGTGAGAGACACTGATGCAGTAAACGATTCTTGGTTGATTACATGGTTAAAAACGGTGACATTGTTCCCTTACGATCCATAGCAAGAAGGTGGTGGGTTGGTACAAGATCTAGTTCTGTTCCATGTTCCTGTTCCAGCACTGTGATCACAATCACACCTGCTCCAATTTCCCCAATCTGTCCAGTTTCCGTTTACTGTTTGACCTGAGATATTTTGAGTACTTGAATCTGGCAGCTGATTTATTCTTTAAATCGGCAGGCATTGGGCAGAAATTGTTTATTATGGTATTGAACTTAATTTTCATATTCAAAGTGTAGTAGAATGTTGAAACTTACAGCACTGATCATCACAAGTTCCATTGTTGAGCAGCTCACCAACACAGTCCCTGATATAATGATTAACAATTAAGATAAGATTGGGTAAAAGAAACTGATTTTTGGGTGAGAGGAACTGATTTTGGGTGAGAGGAACTGATGCAGTAAACGATTCTTGGTTGATTTCATGGTTAAAAACTGTGATATTGTTCCCTTACGTTCCATAGCAAGAAGGTGGTGGGTTGGTACAAGATCTAGTTCTGTTCCATGTTCCTGTTCCAGCACTGTGATCACAATCACACCTGCTCCAATTTCCCCAATCTGTCCAGTTTCCGTTTACTGTTTTACCTGAGATATTTTGAGTACTTAAATCTGGCAGCTGATTTATTCTTTAAATCGGCAGGCATTGGGCAGAAATTGTTTATTACGGTATTGAACTTAATTTTCATATTCAAACTACAGTAGCATGTTGAAACTTACAGCACTGATCATCACAAGTTCCATTGTTGAGCAGCTCACCAACACAGTCCCTGATATAATGATCAACAATTAAGATAAGATCGGGTAAAAGAAACTGATTTTTGGGTGAGAGAAACTGATGCAGTAACGATTCTTGGTTGATTACATGGTTAAAAACTGTGATATTATTCCCTTACGTTCCATGGCAAGCAGGTGGTGGGTTGGTACAATATCTAGTTCTGTTCCATGTTCCTGTTCCAGCACTGTGATCACAATCACACCTGCTCCAATTTCCCCAATCTGTCCAGTTTCCGTTTACTGTTTGACCTGAGATATTTTGAATGCTTAAATCTGGCAGCTGATTTATTCTTTAAATTGACAGGCAGTGGGCAGAAATTGTTTATCATTGAACTTAATTTTGATATTCAAACTACAGTAGAATGTTGAAACTTACAGCACTGATCATCACAAGTTCCATTGTTGAGCAGCTCACCGGCACAGTCCCTGATATAATGATTAACAATTAAGATAAGATTGGGTAAAAGAAACTGAATTTTGAGTAAGAGAAACTGATGCAGTAAACGATTCTTGGTTGATTTCATGGTTAAAAACTGTGACATTATTCCCTTACATTCCATAGCAAGAAGGTGGTGGGTTGGTACAAGATCTAGTTCTGTTCCATGTTCCTGTTCCAGCACTGTGATCACAATCACACCTGCTCCAATTTCCCCAATCTGTCCAGTTTCCGTTTACTGTTTGACCTGAGATATTTTGAGTACTTGAATCTGGCAGCTGATTTATTCTTTAAATCGGCAGGCATTGGGCAGAAATTGTTTATTATGGTATTGAACTTAATTTTCATATTCAAAGTGTAGTAGAATGTTGAAACTTACAGCACTGATCATCACAAGTTCCATTGTTGAGCAGCTCACCAACACAGTCCCTGATATAATGATCAACAATTGAGATAAGATTGGGTAAGAAAAACTGATTTTTGGGTGAGAGAAACTGATGCAGTAAACGATTCTTGGTTGATTTCATGGTTAAAAACTGTGATATTGTTCCCTTACGTTCCATAGCAAGAAGGTGGTGGGTTGGTACAAGATCTAGTTCTGTTCCATGTTCCTGTTCCAGTACTGTGATCACAATCACACCTGCTCCAATTTCCCCAATCTGTCCAGTTCCCGTTTACTGTTTGACCTGAGATATTTTGAGTACTGAATCTGGCAGCTGATTTATTTTTTAAATCGGCAGGCATTGGGCAGAAATTGTTTATCATTGAACTTAATTTTCATATTCAAACTACAGTAGCATGTTGAAACTTACAGCACTGATCATCACAAGTTCCATTGTTGAGCAGCTCACCAACACAGTCCCTAATATAATAATCAACAATTAAGATAAGATTGGGTAAAAGAAACTGATTTTTGGGTGAGAGAAACTGATGCAGTAAACGATTCTTGGTTGATTTCATGGTTAAAAACTGTGACATTGTTCCCTTACGTTCCATAGCAAGAAGGTGGTGGGTTGGTACAAGATCTAGTTCTGTTCCATGTTCCTGTTCCAGCACTGTGATCACAATCACACCCGCTCCAATTTCCCCAATCTGTCCAGTTCCCGTTTACTGTTTGACCTGAGATATTTTGAATGTTTAAATCTGGCAGCTGATTTATAAATTTATTCTTTCAATTGACAGGCAGTGGGCAGAACTTGTTTAATATCAAACTTAATTTTCATATTCAAACTACAGCAGAATGTTGAAACTTACAGCACTGATCATCACAAGTTCCATTGTTGAGCAGCTCACCAACACAGTCCCTGATATAATGATCAACAATTAAGATAAGATTGGGTAAAAGAAACTGATTTTTGGGTGAGAGAAACTGATACAGTAAACGATTCTTGGTTGATTTCATGGTTAAAAACTGTGACATTATTCCCTTACGTTCCATAGCAAGAAGGTGGTAGGTTGGTACAAGATCTAAT